TAATATCACTTCCAGGCTGCCCACACCGTGGAAGGGTATTTCTTGAGGGACCTGGAAAGGAATTTTGATTAGTATTGGTCTTAACAAGCTGGGAGCGTTGCCGCAGTGCCCAAAAGAGCAACTGCTTGATGCCGCTCACGCACGGCCTTCTTGTGTGGGGTTTTTGACGTGTTAGCTCCATTCTTCAAAGGACCTTACCGCCGGAGACGGAAATTCATGGGATAAGGTGAGGTGTGCTTTTTTAGGGTCGATCTTTTCTAACCCCATCCTTCCTTGTGAGAAGGCAGTATCGCTGTTATGCTGATTGTCCGAAGGATACACCTTAATGCCCCCAAATGCCGAGAGTGGAGAGAGTCCGCTCTCCCTCTCCAAATGCTCTCATGGCCACGCGAATATATAGCCTCTGCCATGGAAGTCCTACTCACTGCCTTCTCGTGGCGGGGGTGTTGTTTACGAAATTGAGAGAACGAGGAGCGAATGTCCGGCGCTTTAACCGGATTGGTTGACACGGAAAGTATACCTAGGGGAGTTGGAAAACCCTGATTCCAAACCAATGGTGTACATGGGATCCAGTATCCTGATGGAACGAATGGCGTATGAACCTGTTGTTGGTCACCGGCTACCGTGGGACTGCATCTCCTTACGATGCTCCACTGCCTTGTGGACTAGACCTTCAGGTCAAAGGCTTTGGGAGTGGCCCCCCAAAGAAAACCACTTGCTTCGGTCTGGGTACCTGGGCAGTATCACAGCCCCCACACAAATCAAATGAGATATGTGAGGTGCATATTTATCTGGTGCTTCCTTGTACCAACATTTATGTGTTTAAATAAAAATAAAAAAATTTAAACACCTCCGTACAGTCAGCAGTACGACTTCGTCTTCGGACCTTGGGTTTGCTGCTTTTATTCTTACCGCTCTTCAATCGACCTGTCAGTCATGGTAGGACCTTGAGGAACGATTGTTCCAGCCAGCATAGCTCGATTGGTTCATCACGATAGGCAAGCCCGACCACCACGTCAAGGTAGCAGCAACGGTCAGGAGGGGGACCCTGTGGCGCAATGGATAACGCGCCTGACTGCGGGTTATCGTCACTGAGTCCAAACACACGATGCCGAACCTCTGCATTACTAACATGGTGTTGCCACTGGATGTCAGCAATCCTTCCCAGACAACGATGATCGAACACAGAAAGTTGTCCAACATCCTCAACTCGGATAGGCCAGGCTTCACAAGCATAGAGCAAAACTGCTCTCACCGACGCGTTGTAGATCCGACCTTTTACAACCAGACTATCACGAAGGCGCCAAAGATGGTCCGGATTGGCATAAGCCTCTCTGGCTTCCATCATACGTGCATCGATCTCATCACTTACACCACCACTTGTGTAGCTACCTAGATACACGAACTTCTCAACTACTTCTATCTCCTCGCCATCCAGGGTGAGTATAGGATTGGAATCATGCCAGTCTTGTAGGAGTACTGTGCACTTCGAAGGTGCAAAGCACATACCGTACCTGCAGACACTGATTGCCAACTGATTAAGTGCGGATTACATGACTTGGACATTATCGCACAGTAAGACGATACCATCCACATACTCAAGGTCGAGAAGTCGTTCTCCAGGCAAAAGATCCACACCGCCATTACTTACATCCATCAGAGCTGTTTCCAGAATGTCATCGATGGCAAAGTTGAAGAGGAATGGTGAGATTGGGCAACTCTGCCTAACCCTACTGCTTGAATGAAACAATTGAGAGAGGTGGTTGTATGCCCTCTCTCTGCCTGAGGTGTTTGTATACAGGGCCTTTAAGATGTTAATAAACTTCTCAGACATACTCTTCTTCAATAGACAATCCCAGAGAACAGTCCTGTCCGAGACGAAGGCAGCCCTGATATCAAGAAACACTACTATTGTTGGCCTGTGATAAGTATGACGGTGTTCTAACATTTGGCGGCGGGTGAAGATATGATCAATGCATCCTCGACCAGAACGAAAACCAGCCTGCTCCTCGCGAGTCAATCGTTCTCGGGTTTTAAACAACCTACGAAGAATGACAGAAGCCAATAGTTTGGACGCAATCGGAAGTAGACTTAAACCCCGATAGTTGTTACAGGAACAACGTGAACCCTTTTTAGAGATGGGGACAACTATCGACTCACTCCATGATGTTGGAACAATTTCTAGCTCCCAAACCTTTGCAAACAACACAGTCAATTCCTTAGTCAGAAAGTCACCATCATCTTTAAAAAGAGCCGGAGGTAAGTCATCTGGGCCCGGTGATTTGTAGCGTTTCAAGAGTTAGAGTTCCTTGCGGACTTCCGCCTCGTTTGGTGGATCAGTCGTCACCGGTCATGGGAAGCAGGACAAACTGATCGACGTTGCCGGAGCAGCAGGCCAGTTGAACTGCCCTTCAAAGAATTCTGCCGATCGTCCAAGACGTCGACAGATGTTAGTGATTGGCATCCCATCATCCACACACCAGACTTTTTGCTGCCAGTGGCTCTGATGAGTTGGAAGAGCTTCCGGCAGTTACCAGGTACAGCTGCTGCTTCCAGCTCAATAGCACGATCCGACCACCAGGTTTCCCGGTCCTCACGCAAGCTTTGCCCGATTTCATTGCGTAACAGCCTTCATTTGTGCTCAAACTCACGGCCATCCGGAGTAGACCGACGGGCTTCCATCAGTTGTAAAGAACCAGAAGAAACCCAGTGCTTATAAGCGGGACGTTTCACAAAGCTGAAAGCAACTTTACTCGCCATTTTCATGGCGTCATGCAGTTGCAACCAATGCTCATATATACTTTTCGGTGGTATGTTAGCTAGCCTAGAAGCTAGCTCGGTTTGATACTTACCTGCAACAGAAGTTGCAACCAATTTATTAACATCAATCCTTTGATGACGGTCAATTCGTTGGCCACTGAAAAGTAAGGTAAGATTGGCGCAGACCAGGGCATCATCAGACTCCAGATAGGTACTCCAAAAGGAGCGGCAGTCTTGTACACAACCACGCCAGTGGTAGCTGATCGCGATGTGATCAACCTGAGTCCAGGCTTGAGATGCAGAGGGAGGACGCCAGGTGGCACACCGGCGATTACTGTGCTGGAAGTTAGTGCTAGCCAGAAACAGGTTGTGGTCTGTGCAGTTGCAGTAGACGGTCCCCGTTATCTGTGATTTCATAAACAACACCCCAGCCACGAGAAGGCAGTGAGTAGGACTTCCCCGGCAGAGGCTATATACGCGTGGCCGTATGAGGGCATTTCGAAAGGGTGCTGTTTACGAAATTGAGAGGGCGAAAAGCAAATGTCCGGTGCTTTAACCGGGCCGGTGGACACAGTGAGTCCACCTAGGGGAGTTCGAAAATCCTGATCCCAGTACCCTGAGGGAACGAATGGCGTATGAACCGATCGTTGGTCACCGAATACCACGGGACTGCATCAACTCACAATACTCCATTGCTTTGTGAGTCAGACTTTTAGGTAAAAGGCTTGGGGTGTGGTTCCTTAAGAAAACCACCTGCTTTGGTCTGGGCACCCGGGCAGTATCATAGCTATCGCACAATTGTGTGGCGCATATATATCTCGTGCCCCCTTGTACCAATACTTATGTGTTCAAGTAAATAAATAAATGATATCATGAAACAGTTACTTTCTTATGCAGTTCAAAATGGCAGCTAGAGACCATCTTTACTCAGTATGATTACACTGGCTTTTTGTAACCTACATACATCTAACCAATACTGGAGTGCAAGGCAGAAGAGTAACACTGGACCTACTTTAGTCGGATCTGATTCATTTGATGGATTAACTTTATTTCACTAGTCAAAATACTTTTATCAAACCGAACGTTGCTGATCATGATTTTATCGAACGAAATGTTTCTAAAACAAAGTTGAGTGACCATGAAGACTTAATGTCATCAAAGTTTAATGATCGATTCTTGTAAACGCAAGGTAGAAAAGACACTTCAGTGCTACAGTTTGTCTAAATAGTCACAGAAACAGGAACATGTAGTTGTATCAAAAGCAAACTGTACATTAGATTCACCAGGCATCCACGAGTATGACAGGAAGACCAGCACTTAAGCAGAAATTGGACACTGAGCCACACTATTACTAGTGATTATAATACAAAATCAGTATTATGACTCCGTGGGGAAGCAGAAACAAAAGAGGTATGACAAAATATGGGATAATAAAACCCATATTAAAGCAAAACAAATAATAGAAAGGGTGTGCAACATGGCTTATTTTTATTCATTTGACTTAAGCCTTTATTAACAGCTATCCACAATTCTTACTTGCACACGTAGTGTTTACTGGGACAAAAAAGACACTTTTCGGATCTGAAATAAAGCAGGAAGGGATGATCAGGCCGATTTACGCGATCCAGATAGTAAACGGGTCAAACAACTTCAGACATCATCAAACCTACACCTGACCAAAGGGTTTTTTTATGAGTTTTTACCGTAACTAGACTAAATTCCAAAACTTATATACGAACTGAACATTTTTGTGCACATTCATGTATTTTACGACAGGATGATTTTAAATTTTACGTGTTTATCAATAACTGCTTTTAGCGATCGTCGCTGTGAGCTATTAGGTGACAAAGTACACAATGAAGATCAACGAAGACGAGATGAATGTCGTCAATAGAATGACTACGAATAATCGGAAGTCGATAACTATATACATGTGACGAAAAGTACAATTTAAAGAGACGTATTTCCTGGATGGATTTCAAAGGACAGAAACCAATGGATCCACTCGATAAAGCTATTAAGGAGGTAAATTTAGTGTATTTATGTCATTCTTTAAACAACTATCCCACTGATAACTAGTAGCAGTCCGTCTTTTTACTTTTTGATCACTTAGTTTATAGACTCGAGGTCTATGAAAAAACTGTGTTGGCAGTCCACGGAATATAGTCAAAGAAACACTTATCTACAGTCTGGATACATTATAAACGATAAAGTTGTAACATAGCATAGTCTGTACTTACCCGGGCTCACTTTATCATTAGAATTGCCCGTCATCTAAGAGAGCTAAACTGGCTCCCCCGCCTTTCACCACTGTTTATCCAATTCAATTTTCAATACCGTCATTTTTAGACCACCACTATTCATTCCCATCTTTGCTTGAGTGCTCTACTTTTACTTGAAAGTGACATGTTTTTAAAGGATTTTCAGTCTTTTACAGTGCTAATCTAAATTAACCTAACTGATACGACTTAAAAACAACTGCCTATTACAACGCAGCAGCCGCCAAAGGCTTTCGAGCGTTGTGATCACTTTACCGAGGATTCGAGTGCTTAGACAAGGAGATGTTACGGATGTTTATATCACACTTATGTGAACCACACCTGTAGTACTGTGTTTAAACAGTCAGCTTATGTCTCGTTAATGTTACTCACACACTCAATCACGTTTAGCGTGTAAAATAAAGTAGGTAAAAGATTTATCAAACGTTCCCTTGCAATGAGCGCTTAAAACGCATAGAGCGTTTTCCTTTATCGTACGGTAGGACGCGAGGTGACTTTATACCAGCATTCTATATCTTTAATAACGATTTGGGTGTTAATATAACTTACGTTTTCGATCCTTTCGGAACTAATCACCTCCAAGGCCACAGCAAGAAAGTTTAGAAACTAAGGTCTCATAAACTCGGAGTGACATTCCATTTTTCCCACCGTGTAGTAAGTTATGAAACTGCCTTTCCGAACACGTGGTTGCAACCCCATTAGTGAGCATTTTCAAGGGAAAACTGAACCTTCACTAAGAAACAAGCTGCATGGACTAATATAGGTCTACAGATCTACTACTCTTATTACTCAAGATTAAAAACTAAAAAAGAATTTTAGCTTTTTCACTCATTTGGGATATCGACTACAGTAACTAGTTCGTGTAATGTCAGTCCTCAGCAATGCTTGCGTTAGGTCAGTTATTCTGCGTAAATCTCAACAGCAACTATTTATAGTCAGCAACTCCATCAGTTGGTTGGAATCGCCGTTGGAATAAACCCCGAAATGATGTACGTATAAATTCCAAGCTCATTTAACTTTTAAGCAACTAGAGCTGTCCAATTCAAGGCATTGGTCCAACTAACCAATTAATCATTTTAGATAAAAGTTAGTTTCTCTCTTAACGTGTTGATAATGTTTCACTGATCCCCCTACTCTAAGCGTTGTTCTCAGTGACTTTCAGTAATCTCTACAGAAGAAAGTTTCGGCTTTTCTTTCAAAGACTTTTGAAGTAAAAGAAACGATAATCCAGAAGGAGTATGGTAATATTTCAACAGGAACACAGATGTATCAATTTAACAAAAAACGCAAGACCGAATAGCCCTTACAGAATACAAAACATTATGTGAAATCACAGCAGAATGCAAGGTACTTTTTTTCACTGTTAAATTTGTAAAAAATTAAAAGGAACATAATAGAAAATCAGCTTTTTGGAGTAACTAAGTGATAAGTCTTGTCGATTGAACGCTATATACGGATCCTAAGCTAATTTCGTAACCCCAGGCTAGAACTACTCAGCGACTTGAACACCAGAGAGAAGACACGAGAATGAGAGAAACTCTTTAATAAAAGGTTCGTTTTTGTACAGAAAATCATGGGTATTTATAGATGTTATCGTCTGTTAAATCAACATCATATTTTCAGCCAATCCATTAACGACATATTATGCTGCCGACCAGTAGTAGAACGCCACGTTGGAATTCTAGAATGTTCCATCATACTCTAATTGTTTAGGGCTCCTTTTGGGCCTCTGGAGGCTCCGTTGAAGTTCTCCGGAAGCCGACTGAACACTAAGAAGTAAACTTTGGTTGACTATGCATCATACAAAGTCATTTGCCGGTTTCGGGCGATTGTAATGGACTACCATGGGTAACCGAGAATCGTATCTGGTATCTTTTATTTTGTATTTATCCTTATTACTATAATAAAAGACACAATCCCGAAATTGTAGATTATTCATTATGTGACTAACTAATTCATAAAATCTTATGTGGAAGTCACGTCACTGTCTATACTGACTCGTTCTACGTGACAATCACAAACATGATCAGTACTTCTGGAGAACAAATTTCGGCTGAGGATAAAACAAAATAACCACACATGCAAAGCTGGACCACGCGTTTACCGAACTTCTCTCCATGTTATATGGTCAATGTGAATTTTCTAAGTTATCTTTTGTTTAGCATCGAGTGTCATGTGGTTAAAACCAATACTACTACACTACTCTCCTACCAGAATCAACGTGACGTTTATCCGATTAAAAGTCGAATGGGATTGTCGCGCACTAGAGGTTACCAAAAGAACAATGAAAATTCTCTGGGTACTGAAAAGCTGGAAGATAAACCAAATAGAACGCAGCAGCGATTGATCGAGAAATATGTATAATGATTCCAAAATGTTTGGTTTAATGCTTAACATGCTTAAAATCAAAGTTCACATGGATATTGTTTAAACGTCAAGTAAAGTGAGAATATAACAATGAAGAATTATTCAGTATAGATATATTTTGACAGGTCACAATAAGATGCATGGTAACAACCGTTGACTAACAGCATAACTTATGGGCAGTTCAAGTACTTTGGGCTTATACAAAGGGTAACGACCAATATTGTAGAAAATTTGATGTCGGTACTATTTTTGATTTGAATTAGAAAGTTGATTAATGTTCGTGTCGGTATTCTGTCTGTTTGAGTTGATTTCCACTTACATCTACAACCTCTTACAATTAGTCATAGTGTTGATTGGGGATCAGCCAGTGAGAAGTAAGTATTATTGTTCGGGGCGATTCGGAAATACCAGAAGTTTGTAGCATAAATACATACGAGCTGCTTGATTTCACTCCGAATCACGATCCAGAAATAATTTTTCACTTAGTGTTAACTTCAATGGTAGGCAGCAGTCTTTATTTTGAACACTTGGATGGCTAACGACTACACGATAATTTAGTTATTATTTTAGTGCAGCACACTATTATCTCAATGTGATGACTTTATTATCTGAAATATGTTTAGTGTCTTTTTGGGCAGGTAACAGGATATCCCTATTTATAAACCCAAATACAAATAGCAATTACGACTATGATGGTTTTGGTGGAAAATGTTGATGGCGGTTCAAACAATCGTTAAATTCAAGTGTCATTGAGATAATATGATGCAGTGGATGTACAAGCAAGGTAGCCATGTACGTTGATGAGTAGTCGAATAAATGAAAAGAAAGTAGAAGAAAAAATTTATGTGTTGAGGTATTGGTTGTGGATCGACGGCTGGGGACATGACGATTATAATATGGAATTCTCACGCGTGGTGTCCACAGCTAGCCTAATAACATATATGAGCATGTGATAACTATAATCACCTTTACTTGCGTTTTCGTCGCGGTAAATGTTGAATGTGGATTTCTTCTGTCATTTTCCATTTAGCTTCGAGGATCCTGTAGTTAAAATCAATACCAGTACAACATGGCATAGTTCTTCAAAAAGTTGCCTTTCAAAGTTGGTACTTCCATCCGAATGCTACTGAACATGTGCATCCTAACAAGTAACCCAAATTTCAAATAACGGTTTAGCTACAATTTGAGCATTAATGCTTTCCACTCACCATCTTAAAAAGTGGTCGACTCTTATTAAAATATACTTATTTCTCTTATCGGCTTCCCGTAACGACCCAATCATTACTCATTTGGGTAACCTGGCCTAATATTTATTGAGGGGTGTTGTCTTTCATGCCCTTGGTTGTATGGAAAATCTTACGATATGTAACATAGTTCGTTATAACTACCCTATAATTTGGTCACTGATATCTACGTTTGGTGGCTGCCATCATTTTATTTTGGCTTATTCGCTTCACATCTTCGTCAGCCTTTTCCAAGACATTGCTGACCGTAGACTGTAGAGCTACTAGATTTCTCGAATGGTGTGGTCCACATGGAGAATATAATGCTCCATATGCATCATAGACGCATTCCCTACTAACACCGTAAATTCCTTCTGTATACGGCCGAGAAACCTTGTTTTTCAACGCGTTATACACTAATGAAATCTCCAGATCTTCTGTCTAAATATGAACCCTATTTACTATCTCACATAATTTTCCGCTCTATTGTATACCGCTTCACTGTGGCTCACGAAGGACAGTTTCCATAAGGTTTAGTCGCTTTGAGTGATAAGGCGTCCGTATCCAGGTGCTATTTAACGGGCCGATGGATGCATTTGTAGACATATTCTTGTAAATATTCTTAACATGGAGCGATTTGCTTTTTGTGACCTATAAGGCTTTCCAACCATATTGCAGCTTTATGATCGGTTTTAACAACAAAGTTACGTCCTAGTGATTAATACCGGAAGTAGTGCACAAAGTAAACGATTTTTAACACCTCTTCGCTTGTTGTACAACACGTTTTCTCTGCCTTGCGAAATATTTGGCTTCCAAACGAAATAACTCTCATTTCCTTCTGAAGAGACTTGTGATAATACAGCACCGATCGCCCGGCCACTTGCATTGGTGTCCACGGTGAGAAAGCCAGCAGTGAGTAAACAGTCCAGATGTGCTGGAATTGGCATCAAAACAACCACAAAAAATATTGTTGATACTTATCAGTCCATTTAAAGTTAACATCCTTTCATAGCAAGGTATGAAAAGGAGCTGAAGTCTCTGAAAATCCTTGGATAGTACTATAATAAGGTACCAAAATTAGGGAGCTGAGAAGCTCACCAACACTTTGTGGAACAGCCCAGTTTCTAACGACACCGACTTTTTCACTATTTGGTTTTGTTCCTTGATTATCAACGACGTAACCTAGGAATTTAACTTGCTTTCTCATCAGGCGACATTTTGATGGTAATACTTCTAAACCAAATTTCTGAAGGCGTACAAAAACTGTTTGCAAATTTTCCAAATTTTCCTAAACAGTTGCTCCGTGTACTATGACTACATCCAGTTACACCAAACAAGCGTGTGGCACGAACCCAGTGTTGCATGCATTAATTGTTGAAAAGTAGACAGCACATTAGTTATACTA